TATATGTATTTTTTAAATTGATTTTTTACAGAGAGGAATGGAGAGAGATAGTTAGAAATATAGATGAGAGAGAAACATTGATCAGCCACCTCCTGCACACCCCCAACTGGGGATGTGCCCGCATCCAAGGTACATGATCTTCACCAGAATCGAACCTGGGACCTCTCTGTCTGCAGGCTGATGCTCTATCCACTGAGCCAAACTGGTTTCAGCAAGACAAGTTTTTGATACAATGCAATTTTCTTAATGAAGTGAAACTGAGAATAAAAATATTTTTTGTTTGATAATAATTTTGGCAAGCAGAGTCATCAGGAATGCTGAGAGTAAGGAAGAACAATCCTAACATATATGAAATCTTGGGTTCAGTGACAATGACTTTATATTAAAATATGCAAAATTGACTGTTAAGAGCAGCATTTACACACAAGGGGATCTTACAATACATTTTAGAAAAGAGATATAGCGGAAAACATTTGCCATCAATTTTAGTCCATCGGTTTTCACTGATCACTGACAATTGCTTACTCATGTTTCAGGCTCAGGCTGCAAGATGAATAACCCTCCTTAAAAAAATAAAATAAAGGGAAAAAAAGTAAGAGAAAAAGAAAAGTGGCAAATTGAAGAGGATAGACTTAAGAAACACATAAGGCAAATCAGTGCAATTATCTTATTGAAACACTATATCTAAATACTTGAAAAATACTTAGAATCTACTGAACAATCTACTAGACTTTATTACACATGTAAAAAAGGAGATTTAAATCTAAATGATTGACAAACTGGTTATTGGATATGCCTAATGAATTACTAGCACTTATTTATTCTTTAATTCATTTATTCTATACCTATTTGTTCGTTCATTCACTCAATTTTTGGTTTCTGAATCTTCCCAGGCAAAGTTAGCAAGTTTAACTGCTATTACTCATGACCTCATCATAAATCTTTTGTGGTATATGTCAGTGTGATTCCCTGACATGTGTAGAAGCTTAGCATACGCTTAGACATCATAGATTTCTCTGTCTCAGAGTTTCAAAATCTATTGATGGTTGGAAGATGAGTATTATCCTTCGGAAATGGACCAACATTGACTTTGGAAGGAGAGGATTTGCTAACTACTTGGGATGTTATAGTATCTAGCATTTATTTGTGGAGAGTTGTCTTCCTTTTCTTCTTTTGTTGTTTAAATGCCCTCTAGGCAGTGCAGGTTCCACTCAGTCTTCTAAAATGCACACTTAACCTTCAGTGCTGGGTGTTGTGAAATGTGCATTATGGCATGAACAGGGATGCTTATTGGAGAAGTAGGTCCCATGTTCCTTATTCCTGGATAGTTGGATGGGAGCAGTAGCAAGCACATCCTGTCTCAGGCAGAGTGCCTGGTTCCTCACCCTGCACACCAAGTAGGACAATTTTTCCTTTCCAAGTCATCTTTTGTTTGTTTAGTCCCTCTTATTGTCTCCTTCCTTAAATAAATCCAGTATCATGTTACAGTATTTTGTGACAATTTCTCATTGTCCAAGTTATTTTTCTTCTTATTGGAATGAAAAATTAAGACAGTATTTTTTTGGATAGTATAAGCAAAAAGCATGCCAGGCTTAGCAATTTATTGATAATATCAAGGGTATCTACACAGTTTTGGTATCTGTAGATTTCCTTTAAGTGATTCATGATGTAATGCAAATAAACATGAAGTTATTGACATAAAGAATTTTATATGCTTATTGCTTATAAACATCCCACATATTAAAAATTAAATATTAAAAAGCTACTATTTAAATATGGAAATTAAAGAGATATGTCACTTGAGAAGGTTGGGATTTCACAAGCTGACAGCATCATTTGGGTTCATCTAATTCTCAAGGAATTGATAGCAATGGTGGTGATAATTATTATGGTACTAGAGGTCTGGTGCATGAATTCCTGCATGGGTGGGATCCTTAAGCCTGGCCAGTGATCAGGGCTGATCAGGGCCAGGCTGAACAGGGCCTGCTGGCAGGGGGGAGGGACCATAGGCCAATCAGGGCCTGCCAGCTGAGGGGAGGGATGAGGTACGGAAGGTTGGCCACCAGCCCCAAGGAGGGAGCCCACCATTAGTGGCCCTGGGAAAGGGGCCACATCTGCTGCCACTCATCCCCAATTCCCAGTGCAAGCCTGGGGCCCAAAGACCCTGGTGGGGTTGGGAGAGGTAGCGATGGTCACCGGGATTGGTCAGAAGGAATGGGCGTTGGATGCTGATGCCTGGCCGTGGGAGATCCACTGTGGGAGTGCACTGACCACCAGGGGCAGCTCCTGCATTGTCTGCCCCCTGGTGGTCAGTGAGCATCATATTGACTGATAGACCAGTTGTTCCAGTCGTTTTGGTTGTTTGATAATAACAGTTGCTTAGGCTTTTATAAATATAGATAATTACAATAATAACAATATTAGCACTACCCTTTATTGAATCTTTATTGTGTTCCTGGCCCTATATTGAGTGCTTCCTGCATTGCCTCAGGTAATCCCTATAATAAATGTAGGAACTAAGTGCTATTTGCCTTCACTTTACAGATAAGATAGAATAAGTAACTTCCTGAAGATGGCACAGCTGGTGGCAAAGCCTAGATTCTGTCCTGGGCTAGACCTCCAAGGTCAATGTTCTCAATGATTGAAATTGATAGGCTCCTAAATAATAAAGCAGTAAGACCTTTAATGAGCTTTACTCACCTTACATTTTTAACCTCACAAGACAATCTTCCTCCAGCCACATCCTATGTTTCTCTAACCCCCAATCTGTTTTGTGTTTCCTTGCCTTTGTATGTGCCATTTTTTATGCCAAAGCTTAAAATATTATTGGCATCTTCACTCTACCAATCCTATCTGAAAAAACTTTAAAATTTTACTCTTCCTTCAACATGTTGCTCAAACACCATCTCCTTTATGAAGCATTCCTTGAAGATTCTGGCACAGGTAATTTTCCGTCATTAGAAAATGCACAACATTATATATATATATATTGTGCTAATACAGGATGGATATATATATATATATATATATATCCTGTATTAGCACAATACTTTTGATGTCATTATTTGTGTCTGTGCCTATTGCCTAGACAAGACTGAACACCCGAGAATAAAGACAGTGACTTTCACCTTTGCATCCTCAGTCCTAACGTAATGTCTGCCATGGAGAGGCTGTGCCATACATATTTATTGTAGCAATGACATCAGGTTTGGGGATAAATGGAAAGAACCAAGAAAAGGAGATAGTATTTGAGGTAGGCATTGAAAACTTTCAAAATATTTCCTGAATTTTAAAAATGTCATTTTGGGGTATTCCGTGTATTAATATACACAAATGTATATATTTTTTACGATTCTCCCATGAATATGTATTTCGTCTTTTCTACCCAATGCCCCCCGTGCAGTGCTTTGAGAACCGTGAAGACTTAGTTAGCATGTTAATTATCTGATTTTTGAACAGTATCCTACTAATGTTTCCTTGATTTAAGAAAAGTACCACTCTGATTCTTCAGTGCTATGTGGTATCAAATACTTCACTTTTCACATAGTTCGTATGTTTAATTTCTTCTGGACATGTTTAAAAAATATAAGTAAGTACACCTTTGATCCACAACCCTGAGCATCTCACTGCTGTTCAGCATAACTCTCCCTGGGCAGATCACTGAGTTGGACAGTCAAAGTAATACTTGTGCACCAGCCCACTCCAAATGATGTCTGTGTCTGTTTACCAGCAATAGCTAAGCTCTTAGGTATCTTGGTGGGTTTCATATCTGAGTTATTTAAACAAAATGAATGATACTTTCTGGGATATTCCATTCTTATCTAAACCATTGCACGTTTCCACATAAGTATATCATTTAAAATACAGGTGAAAAACCACTGATGACAACAAAGAAACTATGAATTACAGAAATCCAGAACCCAGTGCAGGAAAAGAAATCTATACTGCTACAGTGTGCTTCAAGGACAGTTATCCCCTTCATCCTAAATCATCATATTTACTTACATAAATCTTTTTTAGTTTGGTAACATATCATGGTTAGGAGCCAGGGAAATCGTCATTGGGAGCCTCAAAGGTTTTTTTGTTTGTTTGTTTTTGTTTTGTTTTGTTCCACAAGAAGGAGAGCTCTGGGAAGAAACCTGTGTTTGCAGATCTCCAACTTGGAAACCCCTGCGTGATAAGAAAGGTGTTGGCTAAATGTGAGATCATGTAGTACCTACAGTTCAGTGGAACAGGGTAGCCTGTGAGATGCAGCCATGTGATTAGACATAGACATGATTATGTGTGGGGTAGGAAGGCAGTCTTGGAATGGAGGACTGGCTTGCTTTGATCTCTTCTTCCTGTCCAAAGCTGAAGGGTTGCTCCCACCCCTTAGGACTTTTATGCTGGGCTCTCAGCTTGCAGTCACCGGGTCCACTTCCTCCAAGCCAAGTCAGATTTTCCCAAAGGAAGACAACTTCTTTTCGTGGCAGACCCTCAGACTTACACGCCCTTTTTCACAACCCTGCCCTTCTCCGCCCCTGAACCAGGGTAGGCAGCGCAGGAGCTGTGGAGAAGAGAGGTTCCCAGGGGGTGGTGGGGACGACCCCCTTTGCGAACTGCATCTGCAGCTGCCATATCGTAGCCAACAAGCACCAGATTTATATGCACTTTGAAAGAAGCCCCTTCACCATTGGCTTTTTGAGCTGCGCTGTCGCTAGGGAGCGGCGGGCAGGGCGAGCTCAGGCTGGGGAGAAGCTGGGGTTGTTTGTGCTGTAACCTGGGAGGGGGGCGCGCATCCTGCATCCTGCACACGAGGTGCAGCCCTGGCCCCCCAGCCGCCAAAGGCGCCCCCAGGTGCCCCTCTGGGCGGAGCAGCAGCTCCCCGCCAGCCCCAGCCCCCTGGTCCCCGCTGCTGCCGCCCAGAGGAGGAAGGCTCCGCTGCTCCAATTCCTGGGGCGGGCTCCGCAGCCAGGAGCCTGGGGGGCGGTGCAGCCTGAGCGCTGAGCGCGCAGTGAATGAGTTCCCCGCGTCTCCGAGTTGCCTGAGTTGGCGGCGCTGTGCGGGTAACCGGGCAGTCCTCTGAGCCCCATTCCCTTACCCGCTGCCGGGCCAGACCTGCACGCCGGGGAGCCTGGGCTCCTGAGCTCTCGTCCCAGCCCCAGGCAGGGCAGAAGGCGGGCGGGCGAGCCCCAGGCGGAGGCGCGATCAGCCCGCACGCACCCTGCGTGGCTTCTGCTGTCTCCATGGCGTCCTATCAGCAATCCCGCATCCAGGCTTACCTGGAGAAGAACAAGATCGGTCCCCTGTTTGAGGTAAGGCTCTGCGGAGGGAGGGGTGCCCTGCCAGAAGCAGAGCACCTGGAGGGTAAGGGAGTGGCGCCCCTGTGGCTGCAGGTCGCTGCCCTCCCTGCCTCTGGGCCAGGGGTCCTGGAACCCGGCGGGCTGGCACCCCCCTGCTTACCTGGGCGCAGACAGGTGAGCGCGCAGGGCCCAGCCTCAGCCTGGCAGTGAAGTTTGAGCATCTAACTGTCCAGCACTCCAAGTCACACCCAAGACCCCGACAGATTGAGGGAGGACACACACACACACACACACACACACACACACACACACGCACACACGCATACACACTTTCTGGAATTCATGCTGTTTCACATACTGAATTTTTAAACATGTGGGCAGTAGTAGAACTGGGAAAGGTGGAGGAGGTGCTTGGCAGGGGAAGGAACACGGTTAACAGGGAGGAGGTGGGTCTGGTAAGGAGTGGGCTTGGGCAGGTGCGGGCGTGTTGAATGAAATTGTCAAAGGGAGCCGCTGCCATTGGGGTCTGGATGAGAGGGGAGCCTGCCAGGCCCTCCCTGGATGAGGGGGAGAGAGGGGCGGAGAAAGGTTCAGGGAGAGCACACACTGCATTTATGGGAAGGAGACCTGGCTCTCTGCTGTGTGCTCTTGCCAACAATGTTGGTGACAAAAATTTGGTAGAAGCAAGAAAGAGGGGAGGACTCAAGCAAATGAGAATGGGAAAGGGAAACCCTGAGCGGGCTAAGGGTCCCACCGGCTGCCAGGGGGCTGGGCAGATGTGGAGGTAGGAGGGAGGGAGGCCACTGCCCCTTCTCCTCCCGGCTGAACTCGCTAGGCACCTGCAGGCATCCAGGGGTTGTGGGAGGGTCCAGATACTCTTGCTTACCCTCACAAAAAGCAATTGTGGCCATTCTTCAGGATTACATGTCCCTGGCCTCTGATTGGGGCTGAAGTGCAGCAGCGGGGTGAGGTACCAAGAATGGAGTAGCTTTTCTAGGACTTAAGAGAGTGAGAACAGCAGAGAAAACAGTGATTCAAACTAATGTCTCCTCACAAAAAGGGAGACAGGGACAAGGGCATGCCATCAGATGGGTCTTTTCTCTGGGGAGGAGCGATTTGAAAGAACCAGGATTGCACGATCTCTTGGTTTTCTGTCCATCTTTCATGTGCTGTCTTAAAAGACTGGCCATAGTTTCTGGAGAAACTCACGTTGTGAGGTCATAACGTCCTACACTGTGTGAATTGATTCTTATTTCTCTAAAAGGGTTAGCAAATGAGGTCCAAATCCAAAAGCAAAGTAGAATTGCTGGAGCTACTAGATTCCTTTTACCTTTAGTGAAATAGAGATTATAGGCAAGGCCATATGCATATTTTTAAAAAACAGGAGCATCATAACCCTTTGTGGCCCGTTGTTCCAATTACATCAAAAGAAAGATAAAGTAATTATATTTAGAGTGTTTCTACTCTCTTGGAATATGTACAATTTACTATTGTTGTGTTTTGTTTTGTTTTTTTTTAATAGTTGCTGTTCTGAACGTATTGTAAAATTCTGAAGAATTTCTCCAAGTGACAATAGAGCTTGGAATGTATGTAAACTTTCTACGTAATTAGGAAATAAATCCAACTTTGTATTTATCAAGTCCAAATTTTTTAAAATGCTCACCAGCTAGTTCTGCACTGATGAGATTTAACTTTTGTCAAAATTTTCTCATAAAATCATAAGACTTCCTCACTAAAAAACAGTGACAAAATTATATGCTTCATGGCCACAGACAACAGTATGGTGATTGGGGGAGGTGGAGGAAACTATGCAGGGGAGGGGGGGATAAATGGTGATGGATGGAGACTTGATTTGGAGTGAACACACAGTGCGGTGTACAGTTGATGTGCACCTGACACCTATGTAATTTTGTTCACCATTTGTCACCCCAATAAATTCAATACAAAGGAAAAAAATGATGTGCTTCGATTTTTTGTAGATTTTGTTGATGACGTGTTACATACATCCCATATGTAGTGATGAGTAATTGCTTTTTAAGGATTGATGTGCACTTTTAAAAATTGAAGGGAGAAAATGGAGACATTCTCTTTTAGGAAAAGCAGATCTTTATAGGAGCTCAGTTTTGAGAGTAGAATTACACATACGTCACAAAATTGAACAATCTCACCAGCTTGTAGTTGCCTATTTCTTCTCATTCTAGAAAACCAGATAAATAGGTGTAACGCAGATATTGTTGATCTAACATTCTCCTCAGTACTCCTAGCACTTTGGTCAGTGGTTCTTATGAGAACTAATTTGGAAACCATGTTTTCAAATATAGTAAGAGGCACAAATTATTATGTATTTAATTCCTGGACCACATTTTAAGAAACAGTGACATAAGCTAAAATCTCCTTTTCTTAATCACTCATTGAAATGATTAGATGTCTCCTAGTTTTATTACCTGTGCTTTGTTGTGTTTTTTGTGTGTTTGTGCTGAGGTAGTGGAGTTGGTGAAATAAGTTTACTTTTGTTTTGAAAATATACAAGACCTGACATTATGTCCTCTTTACAGATTTTTGTAAATTTGGAATGTTTTGTTTTTATTAAAAAAAAAAAAACCACCATATTGGAATGCGGTATCTCAAAGAGAGCACATGAATGTTATTTTTAAACAATAGCAAATGTCACATATACTATTATTGAGGTTATTATATCCTGCTTTGTTTGTTTTTCACCTGGATATCTTTTTTTAAAAATATATATTTTATTGATTTTTTACAGAAAGGAAGGGAGATAGAGTTAGAAACATCAATGAGAGAGAAACATCAATCAGTTGCCTCCTGCACACCCCCGACTGGGGATGTGCCTGCACCCAAGGTACATGCTCTTGACCAGAATTGAACCTGGGACCTTTCAGCCCGCAAGCTGACACTCTATCCACTGAGCCAAACCAGTTTCAGCTCACCTGGATATCTTATTTACTTACTTGCTAGTTTATCTCTTACTTAATTTGCTTATTTCTAAAATCTTATCATTTGAGAAGCTTATAAAGTGTTGCACACAATATGGTTTTTCAAAAACTACTTTAAATTAAAATGAATCTTGTTTCCAGATGATTTAGTAGAGTAAGTTTATGCTACCTTTAAATATGATTGAAGATGTTTTGAGGCATTATAAAACTATATCTAGAAATCATTGCATTAGAGTCTTGGATAATGATATTTTAATTAAATAATATGAAGATTTAAGATGAAAATGGTAGTGATGACTTACATTCCATAACTGTTTTATATTTTTGTAAGATGTAACACTTTCAGTATTCTGTTGATTTATTCAGGGCTGGCAGGTAGGGAAGCCTGAGCATCGATCTATAAGGAATGCTTGACATCACTTCAATAAATTACCACTAAAATTTCATTTACCACGGATTTCCACACATAGTTCCTTAATTGTGACATGGTTTGTCTCCCACCAAAGGGGAGTATTTTTGCAACACACATAGAGAAGAAGCATAATGTAAACACAAGACTTATCTCAAACTCTAAGGCCAACCACTTAACCATCGAAGAATTTGGCAGTCAGAAATTCTGAAACTGAATAATTAACTGGCATATAGCTTCTTATTGGGATCAAGAGATTTATTTTGTTGATATTGTAAGCAGCTTAACTTCATTTCCAGGAGATTATATGCCCTGGAACATAACAGTAAATTTATTTTCAACATAGAGAAGGATACATCGCTGTTAAAATAGAATAATTACTTGAAAATTATTGGTTGTAAGCTGCTCAGGGCAGTCATATATCTTGGTTAAGGCTCGAGCATACTCACAAGAGTGTAAATTTCTAAACTACCAGAAAGCAGAATAAAAGGTCCTTTATAAAATCTCCATGGAATTTTAAATCTCTGTGTATTGAAGACGTGGCCAACCAAATTCACTGTATTTCTCCAAATGCAATCTGATTCTCTCCAACTAAAATCACCTTCTTTATTTAGCTCAAAGAACCCTTACTTACATGGCCCCGAATTTGTGCTGATTGATTTGGCAGGTGTTATGAGATGGACTCATGTCCAGTGTATGGTCACCCATAGTCTGCGTCAGTCACACACTTGCTGCTGCACAAGTGACTTTTTCCGGTGCCCTGTCCCACACCTTCCAGCCACATCAGCAACCCTGAAATCCGATTGGCCTGGAGAGTGTCAGGTAGTCACCTGGCAGGATCAGGAGATTTGTTACTTACGAGATAGGGGAGTGTTGAGAAAATAATTAAATATATTGAACACAATGTGAGCAAACTATCACATGATGGAGATGGGCATCACAAATATAAGAAGGAAAAAAGGTAGAATGGACCTTGTAGTGCTGGAATGAAATTGGGGGTATTAATGTGCTTCATGACTTTCAATAATAAAATAGATATTGATGTAATAAAAATAAGTATAGATTTGTGTGTATTAATAAACTAGTATATAATAGATGTAATAAAATAAGTATAGATTTGTGTGTATTAACAAATGAGTATATATATAAATGCATACATTTATTTCCTCACTCTGCCTTACTGTGAAGGCCTGGGAATAGCAAAACCCCAGTAGCAATGAGCACATGTAGTGACCAGATTTTGGATTATAAATATCATTCTCTGTTAGTGGAACGAGGTATCCTTGGAGAAATGGTTGATTCCAGCTTTGGAGCTGAGAAAGTACAAGATGAACCTGGAAATCTTATGCCAGAAAATAAGGAAGTGGCCAAAGAAAAATAGGTACATGTCAGAAGAATATAGAAGGCAGCTTTAAGAAGCCCTTATTAACTAAATCTTGGACATCTTAAGAATCAAAACAATCAAAAAACGATGGTAACAATATCTTGCTGTATAAAATAGTATTTTATTGCACAGGGACATTAATGAGATCCATGAATGTATTCAATTTATAGGGAGATGAGAATGCTTTATCATATAGTAGAATGCCAATTAATGAAAATAGAAGGGATGATGGAGTTAGAAAATCACTACTTGGCAACCATCTTCT